GGGTGGGGGGCGGGGGGAAGCTGTGTTGTGGGGGCCCTGGCTCGCACACCCACGTTCTGTAGGGCCACAAAGGGGAGGCGCCTTCCAGCGGGGCCTGTGTGACACCTGGGAGACCGTTGGAGGGGCGTCTGCATTCGGGGGTGGGGGGCGCCAGAGGGGGCTTTGTGTCTGGCGCTGGGGCGGGTGTATTCCGTCAGCCACCGTGGGTAAAGTTGTCTGTTTCATGGGAGATAGGCCGGGGCGGGCGGGCGGGCAGTGGGGGGCAGAAAGGAAAGTGTGGGTTTGGGGGAAGCCGACTTGGAGGGGCCGTGCACCCCGTAGGGGACAGATGGAAGGTGCTGCATTCTCCAGGGGCCGTGAGGGGAGGCCAGCCCACGGACAATCGGCCCTGGGGAGAGAGGCTCCAGGGTGGCCGGGCTGGGGCCTGCTGGGTGGGTGAGCTGAAAAGCAGGGAGCAGGTGGATTAGAGAGGAGAAGGGGGTGTGTATTCCTGGGGGTGTGGGGAATCCCACTGAGGGCAGACGAGGGCATGGGAAGGGAGACGAGGGTGGCCGGAGGGGGTCCGATGTGGGGAAGGACGACGGGGTGTGGACATGGCCACTCCTGGAGGGAGGGAGAGTGGGAGCAGGCGGTGGGAGTGTTTGCCTCACAAACACCTGACGAAGAAACAAAGCCTTCGAATAAGAGGGACGCTACCCAAGCGTGGAAAATGGGACAGGGGAGGGAGGGGGCTCCTGGGGGACCTGAGCAGACATATTAATTGAAAAATTAAAAATTAACTAACATTTGTCCAGGCCTTCTTAGTTTTCCTCACTAAGTCTCACAGCAACCCTCGCAGGTTGGAGGCCACTTTGTAGAGGAGGAAACTGAGGCCCACAGTGGCCAGGTGGCCTGCCTGGCATCTGGGCTTCTTGAAGGCCCTCCACCTGTTAGACCCCCACCCGGGAGCTCAGAGCCTTCCGCTGCCTTCAGGTGGGCTCTAGGCACGCTCGCTCGCCCAGGGGTGGCCACCGGGGTGGCTGGAAGTGCGGCTCTCAGCCCCTCTCTGCCCGCAGTTCCAGGGCCTACAACTGGATCGGGAGGCATGCCTGGCCTCCAACTACTCGCTGGCCAAGGAGAACCTGGCACTGCGGCCCCGCCTGGAGATGGGCCGGGCCGCCCTGGCCATCAAGTACCAGGAGCTTCGAGAGGTGGCAGAGAGCTGCGCCGACAAGCTGCAGCGACTGGGTGAGGGGACCGCCAGGATACCTGCCCGGTGGGATGGGGGGGCCCATGGGCCATGTGGCCCAGCTGGTTGACCTGTGGGAAGTGCCTCCCGTGCATTGCAGGATGGGGCTTGGGTGGCCCTCTTCCCAGGCAAATTGGAGAGGTGTTGACTCTGGGCCGCCTGTGAAGTGAACTGGGGGAGTGGGCAGTAGAGGCCTGAGGTGGGGAGGGGGGCCTGCTGAGCAGTGGGAGAAAGCAGGTTTCAATGTCCAAGAGCCTGGGGTATCCTAGGAGCTAGGTGTTTGCTTTTCTGTTGCACTGGGACAGAAGTGGGGGACCGGGGGAGTACACAAAATGATTACATAGGCATTTGTGCAGATGGTAAAACTGAGGCCCCAGGGTGAGCAAGGAAACTTAGATTGCTGAGAAGAATCATTGGGAGTGGGGGCTGACCCCTGGGCGCTGACAGCCTGGAGACAGGCCTTGAGGCCAGACACTGTTCACTCCATCCCTCTGTGGCCCTCAGAGGACAGCATGCATCGCTGGAGTCCCCACTGTGCGCTCGGCTGGCTCCAGGCCGAACTGGGAGAAGCTGAGCAGGAAGCTGAGGTGAGGTGGCAGGTAGCTGGGCCTGGGGACAGGGGAGGGAGACCCCTAAAAGCTCAGGAGCCTCCCAGTGACCTCTGGTGACCACTGCCCATCTGGGGTTCCCCTTGGCTCTCCTGAGAGTACCTGAGTGCTGCTGGGCCAGGGGCCTCTGCTGGAGTGGGCAGGGGAAGAGGCAGCGTGTGCCCTGGCCTTGGGGGAACCCTGTCTGTGACCAGCCCGTCTGGTCTGTGGGGCCCTAGAGTCCTGAGCATGCTGGGACCTCTGACCGCAGGCCCAGCCGTGCATGTGCGTGTGGGGGTTACCATGGGGAGGGACCCGGGAGAGGCCCAGCCTCCCGTGGGGTCCTGCCCCTCACAACCCTGTCCCTCTGGCCCCCAGGAGCAGATGGAGCAGTTGCTGCTGGGTGAGCAGAGCCTGGAGGCCTTCCTGCCGGCCTTCCAGCGAGGCCGTGCGCTGGCCCACCTGCGGAGGACACAGGCAGAGAAGCTGCAGGAGCTGCTGCGCCGCAGGGAGCGGTCTGCCCAGCCAGCACCCCCAGCGGCTGCCGACCCCCCCAAGCCCTTGGCCCCTGCAGCTGTCCTGCCCACCGGGGCCGCCCGGGGGCCACCAGCAGTGCCCCGGAGCCTGCCTCCCTTGGACTCCCGGCCAGTGCTCCCTCTGAAGGGCTCTCCCGGGTGCCCCCTTGGCCCGGCCCCCCTGCTGAGCCCTCGGCCCTCGCAGCCAGAGCCCCCCCACCGGTAGGATCCAGGGTGTGGCCCCTCAGTGGGGGGCCCAGACAAACTTGATGCTGGCTCCTCCTCCTCCCCCACTGCCTGGGTCGGGGGAGGGGCGGGCCCCCTCCCCTGGGCCTCAGGCAGGCCCTGGCCCTGGAGGCTGAGCTGGGGAGGAGGGTCACTTGGAAGATGCCCAGAGTGGGGGACTGGGTTGGGGGAGGCAGGGTGTTAGGAAACACTGCCTTTCCTTTGGCCCTGGCTGGGGCCTCCGGGGTGACAGGCCAGCCCCATGAAAGGACTTGACTCTCCAGTGGAGTCTGGGAAGAGGCCCGCCTCCCAGAGGGTCCCTCTTAGGGGGTGTGCCACCCCTCCCGCCACTCCAAGGGGCTCGCACAATACCAAGACCCACAGGAGTGCTTTCATCATGCCCTGAGCCTACCTTTCCAACTTTGGGGGCCCACCTCGTAGGAGCCGGGTGGGCAGGCCCCAGAATCAGGGCCGGGGACCCCGTGGCCCTGGGGCTGCGACAGGCCCCATTCACACACCAGACCCTGGGACAAGGTCGGCCTGGGGGCTTCTGGCCTGCACAGGTGAGAGTGGGCCATCCCCAGGAAAAACCATTCTGTATTTTTCTGTCCCTGTCTCCTTCGAATGGAAGCTTTTTGAGGGCAGGTCCTTGTCTTTGTATGTTCTGTCCCCAGCCCCGCCTCCCCGGGGCCGTCAATAAATGTGATGGTGAGGATGTGATGCTGCCGCCTCCTCTCTGCCCCCTCCACCCGCCCCTCCGGGGGTCCCAGCTCCCACAGCTCAGCGGCGCCCTCTGCTCCTCTCTGCCCATCCGCAGCCCAGCTGTCCTTCAGGCCCAGCTGGGCTCCTGGCTGCTGGCTGGCTCCAGGAAGCCACCTCCCATGATCAACGCAGGAGGGCCTTTCCTGGCTCTCAGCTCCCCAGCGCTTCTGGCCAGAGGCACATTCTCCTCCAGTTGCCTCACCTGCCCTCACCTTCTCCCCCACCCCGCACCCGTCACCTTTCAGCCCATCAGGATGGTGCCTGCCTCCTCTTGGCCTGCCAAATGCTCACCCCACTGAGTGATGGACGGCACGGGTGTTCTTGGGCGGAAGGTCCCTGTCTTTGGCTCAGCACAACACAAAGTGGCCAGCGTGGCCACGGGGTGTCTGCCAGGATGGGCGGGTGGGAACACGTCCAGGTCAGGTGAAGGTGGGTCTGGGTCGCCTGAGTGGCATGGAGGAGCCTGCTGAGAAGGAGGGGGAGCGGAGGCAGGGTGGTGTCGAAGCTCTGAGGTTTCAGCAAAGTCATGTGCTAAGAGGGGGCCCAGCATCGCTGGAGGGAGAGGAGCAGGACAGGGTGAGGACTTCAAGTCCTGCGAGGCGCGGATTTGTCATACGCATGTGTGGTCTCGCCTGTGACTCGCTCTGGCGCACTGCCACCAAGTCCACCGAGGCGGCCAGACTCTGGCTCAAGCTGAGGCGCTTAAAAGCAGTGAAGCACGGGTCTGCGTTCGAACCCGCCAGCTGCGCCGTGGGTGAAGGAGATGACCGCCAGCTTACGTAATGCTTATGGCGTTGGGAACTCGATGGCCGAGTTCTACTCTGTCCTTTCAGGTCAGGATGAATCGGTGTTTCCAGGGCAAAAGGGTAGGACACTCTTAAGTCCTGTTCCCTGTCGCTGAAGGTGTGTAAACGGTGCCTGAGTGACCGCTCTCAGAAGGCGGCAGGGGATGACGAGGGGGCGGTGGGCGGTCAGGGGCGACAGAGATGGACGCAATGACTGAAGGCAGTGGCTTTAGGGCACCCTCCTGGCCCAGTCCATCCGATGTACTCTGAACGTGCAGGTGGTGCTGCCTACCTGAGAACCTTCATTGCACACTGGCCCTGGTTTGCTGGCCCTTGCGTGGCTAGAGGCTGCAGAACCATGGGACCACAGGTCGCCTACCTTGGATGACTCAAGGTTGGACAACCTTGCTTGTTGGCGCCCTTCAGAGCACAGCGGGCTGTTCTCAGCATCCAGGGAGTTTTGTGGTGACTGAAAGGTGAGAGGTGGCCAAGGCTGGGCACACCTCCCTCTACTCTCAGCAAGTTAAGGAGAAGCTTCCAGAGGCGAATATCCAGAACCTGGTCCAGCCTCTCTTCCTTCGGGCAGGCCAGCAGCAGAGAAAGGAAAGATCTAGGCAGAGAGGGCACTGGGAAGGGAGAAGAATGGTGTCATGGGGATCAGACGGGGTTCTTCCAAAGTACCCCCCAGCCCCTCCCTTTCCACCAAAAGCCTGGGGTCAGTCGATTAGGGAGGGTAGGGATGGGACAGGGAGCTCTGGTGGCATGGTATGGTTGTCCATTGGGCTGCTAACCGTGAGTCCAGCGGTTCAACACCACCAGCTGCTGGCAGGAGGAAGATGAAGCTTTCTGCCCCGGTCAAGATGCACAACTTGGGAAACTCTTAGGGACAGTTGTTCCCTGACCCAGAGGGTTGATCGGAGTCAGAAGAGACTCGGTGGCAGTGAGTTTGGTTGTGGGCTTGCAGGGCCACTCGTGGTAAGCGCTGGCCTGGGACGCTGAGGCATTCTGGACCAGGGGAGAGGCTTTGAGTTGGATGGTGAAGATACATGCAATGTTCTGGGGAGACCCCGTGGCAGGCAGTCTGGACCTTCCTGCCTGAAGGCTTCCAGAACCTCATTGGCTCCCACACTCTAGAAGGCTTTTAGCTGGGCTTGTGTAAGAGAGAAGAAATGCCAAGAAGGGGCTCCACCATGCGGCCTGTTAGAAAGGGCCCATCTGTCACACACAGAACCACAGCGCGTGCGGTCCCAAAGCAGAGCCACAAACTTTCCCAACAACCGACGCGCCCACTTTGTTGCTGTCCATTGGTAACGTTTCAGACACACCTCCTGGGAATCCTGAGCTTGCCCACGTCGTCTTCTGCGTCCCCACCCACCCCCACCCCCAAATATGAAACCTGGAGAACATCAAATGTGTCATTTTGGCCAGTTGAGGCTCACCAAGCCCAGCAGGCCTTAATAACAGGCTTCAAGTCGGATGGTTCGTGAACGTCAAGAAAGCCCGAGAGAAGGTACGTGGAGTGGGCTGGGGTACTGCGGTGGCAGGCAGTCTGGGCCCTCTGCATGAACCTAGTTGGCTTCCAGGTTCTTGGGAATACTCTTGGCTGAGTTGTGGGCTCAGGTCTCCACCAGTGAATCGTGTGGTGACAACAAAGGTCTGCCTGCGAGCTTGAGCTCCAGTTATCGACTCTGGGCTTCCAAAAGGAGCCCTCAGGGCCTAATGGGTTGTACAGGTTGGACTGTAACCACAAGGTCTGCGGTTTGGTTTATGACCAAAAGGGAAAGTGTGTGTGTGTGTGGCTTTTAGCTTTAGTGGCTCCGTAGGTTATGTGTTGGCCTGCTAACTGCAATCCCAGCAGTTCAAAGCCACCAGCCGCTCAGAGGGAGAAAGATGAGGCTCTCAGTTTCTACCTTGTTCTTCAGGGTCACTGAGTCGGAATGGACCCCCTGGAAGTGCTTTATTTCATCTAATGATGGGGTTGTGCTTCCTTTGTTGTCAGGAAGTGGGGAGCAGCTCCTAGGAGGCAAGGGGTTCATGTCCTGGGCCTGGTGCAACCCCCTCGCTCCAGGACAGGCAAGCCGAGGAAGGAAAGACAACGACAATCCCGTCGGGGGTTAGACCAGGAGGGGCAAAAGGCAGGCACCAGATGGGGCTCCTTGGCAGTTCCCCATTCCTCCTTCTCCATGAAGAGTGGCTGCTCGATTTTAGCGGGGTAGGGAGTGGGGCCACTCTGTTCAACTCCAACCCAAAGATCTGAGGTGCACCACCACCAGCCTAGAGCAACCCTAGTTCTAGACCACAGGCCAGTTACAGTTATCATAGGCTCCTCAATTTAGCGGGCCTACCACCTGGAGGGACAGCGAATGGTTTCATGGGACTGTGCTAGACAACGTCTCTAACTCCCACCAAATGACTTTTCCTGGCTTGGGTCTGGAAAGAGGTGAAGCTACTGCTAGGATTCACCTGTAGTTTCAAACAGAATTCCCTGGAGTGGCATTCGCTGGGTATAAAATGAGCCCTTTGAAAAGCAAGAGGAGGGAATCCGATTTCCAGCAAGAGCCAGGAACGGGGCAAGTCGTCTGGACCCGAGTTCCCTGCACAGTGAACCAGGAGCCAACACACGGAAGGCGGACTTCCAACCCAACCCACGGACAGAATGAAGCTGAGTGTTTCCGTGCAGGAGGCTTGACTTGTAGAGTGGGGGCGGGGGACACTGGGCATTTAATTGGGAAGTTGAGCTTGCCAACCCACTGCAGTGGAGCTGAGCGCCTTGGGGTTGACGCTTACAGCAGAGTGGTGTGCCCTTGGGCATTTATTAGCAGACCCAAACCAGCTTTGTAACATGTCCTAATAAACTGAGCACTTCTCGTTGGCATTACGACTTACTGACGTCCTTAATAAACCCTTCAATTGTGAATTTTGTCTGTGAGTTCTGTGTAGGCATTGCAATCAAGATTTAAAACTCCAAGCTCACTGCCACTGATTCACTTGTGACTCACGGCGACCCTATAGGGCAGGGTAGAACGGCCCGTGTGGCTTCAAGGCTGGAACTCTCAGTGGGAGTTGAAAGTTTCATCTTTAAACTAAAAAGGTAAAATAGTGGATATTCACTATCCCCTTTTCAGAAAAATTAGTCAGTGCCCCTCTGGCAATGAAAAGCATTTGTCCTCTAGCCCCTACTCCAGGGTAAAGCAGGTAGATATCACCACCCTTAAGGGGCAGTATCGCCCACTTTGAGAAACATTTGCGTTAGATGGTTCATTAGCTTCAACCATTCTGTGAAGGTCAAAGTTCTGGGAGCTCGCAGGCAGCCTGGCTGGTCTGAAACCTGGCACTCCGGAGGGGAAGTTCTTGAATGTGAGCTTCAATGAGAAAAGAAATCGGAGTGGTTTCTATGATTTTACAAACCCAAAAGGGAAAAGCTCCAATCCTGGACACATACCCAGAGAAAGCTTTTGCGCCAAGGTCCACTCCTTGTTGGGAAGCAGGGGCTTCTGTGCACTTGGGGCAACACTCCTCACTCCTCGCGGTAGTTCAGGCTTCCAGAAAGGGCAGGCTTTCCCACTTGGCTCCCAAATCAGCAGCACAGTAAGTCATTGTGCTTTTTGAAAAGCACATCTCTCCCCTCCCCACAGACCAAAGCTTGGGGAGCAGAGCAAACCCTCCAGTTTTCCAAAGAGTTAACGTTAAATGAGCTTTTTAAAAAGTACATCCCCCTCGCCTCCCCCAAACCAAAGCTCCAAGTGGGCTCAAATCCCGTGTGGTCCCTATAAAGTTTCCCTAAGGGTCTGCCCTGGACCTTCATGGCTAGTAATTTGAATGGCTTCCAAGGAACAAGTAGGATTAGCTCCAGGTTATCAAAACACATGCAAGGATTTTACACCAAAGACTGAGTGAGGGAACTAGCATTACTCGACCAAAGTTTAGACCTGAGACCTAAGGCCAGGCGTTTGTCTAGTCCCCTTGAACGGTTTCCCGTCTCAGTGCTCTGCTTTGCCCAGTGCATAAGTGCTTGAGCACCCAACCACCCCACAGCCAACCCGTTCCCACAGGCAGCGATGGAGGGCTGTCTTCCTTCTACAGGTGACGGCTGCTTCTGGAGTCAAGAGCTCACAGGATGCATTACCTTGGGTAAATTTGCGGCACAAGGCCTCCTTAGAGTGTTGAGGAGCAAGAGTGTTACTTTGAGGACTAAGGTGTTTGAGGGCTATGGTTATTTTCAATAGCCTCATATGCATGTGAAAGTTGGACACTGAATAAGGAAGACTGAAGTAGATGCATTTGAATTAGCCTCCTGGCAAAGAATGTTGAAAGTACCATGGACTGCCAAAGAGCCAGCAAATCTGTCTTGGAAGCAGCAGAGCCAGAATGCTCCTTAGAAGCAAGGATGGAGAGATTTTTGTCTCGTGTGTTGTGGATATGTTATCAGGACATGTCCTTGGAAAAGGGCATCATGATTGGTAGAGTGGCCGTGAAAGAGGAAGACCCTCAAGATGGATTGACACAGTGGCTGCAAACCACGGCCTGACACAAGAACAATTATGAGGATGCAGCAGGGCTGGGTGGTGTTTTGTTGTTGTATACAGGGTTTTACTGAGTGAGAACCAACTCGACAGCACACACAACTACAGGTGATGATTAACTGGTTACCTAACTCTACACTCACTGGCATCGAGTCCATACGGACTCATACAGGCCTGGTGGGGCAGAGTAGAACTGCTCCTGTGGGTTTCGGAGGCTGTCGATCTTTCTGGGACCACAAAGCCTCATCTTTCTCCTGTGGGTTTGAATCATCCACCTTGTGCCCGGCACATCTTAACTAAACAGGCACAGAGAAAAGAAAGCTGGGTCAGCTCTGAACAAGGAACCCAAGCTTCTTCCTTGAGCAGCAGCAAGTCCCTTATCCAGCCAGAGACCTGCTGGCTCCCAACGCCACCCTTTCTGGCATCCTTCTGCAGCTTTGCTTCAGGTCTAGGCTTGTGGGGTCTGTGACGGCCACACTTGGGATGGCTTGCTCTAGGTCTGCGTGGGGATGGGCTCGAGTTAGCATTGAGGCTGGCTGGTAAGAGGGTGACCAGGTCACTGGCATGCTGTCCCACAGATGAACCTGGACCTGCTGGCATCAGGTTCAAACCACTGAGCTCGTGGGTAAGCAAGTGGGACAGCCCTCCGCTGCCACCTTGCCCACAGACAGAGCCAATGGTCAATCATTAGGCAAGAACACAGGGGCACTTGTACTTCCGAGCTTTGATTCCCCCACTCCCCCGTGCCAACAAGAGAAGGGGCCAGGGCCCAGGAATGGCAAGGCCTTTCGACACAGAAGTCTAGGTCAAGTCACATCTATGGTTAGAGGGACTCAGAATGGCAAGTGTCACACAACCCCAAAACTTTTCTTTTGGCCGCCAAACACTGGGTTGTATGGCATATTTCATGGTTACAACACAGGGGTGGGCAAAAGGAGACAACGCTTGCTCAGGGCTTAGCAATGATGGCAAGGCAAGGGTTCTGGACAAGGTGACAACCCCAGGTAGGCAACCTTTGGCAGCAGGCACCTAGGGATTCCAGAAGGCCGTCTCTGGCCCTTCACCCTTGGGCCCCCTTTGGAGTCTCTTTCGGAGACCTCCTTCTCAGGCTCCTAGGAGAGGGGCGTCAGATCAACCTTTAGGCTGGGGGCGTGGGGGGCGGGAGGGCCTGGTGAGCAGTTCTCCGGGGCCCCAGCAGAGGTAGACGATGGAAGGGAAATGTTTCAAGGGCCGCCGGGCCGCTTCTTTGGGACGTGTTCCCCTTCCCTCCGCTCCCCGGTTACATTCGGCAGCCGATGATGAAGAAGGTGGTGATGAACAGAAAGATGAAAGTCATGTCTCGGGTGTCGTCCCAGTGGAAGCCTTTCTTGGCCCGTTCCTTCTGCTTGTGGAGGGCCTCGCGCCGCGCCCGGAGGCGCCGCTCGCGCTCCAGCTGCTCTCCGTAGTGGGCCTGGTAGAAGGCGTCGAAGTTGAACACGGTGCGATTGGTCCCCGGCGCCGCCTGCCCGGTGCTGTGGCCGCGGGAGGCGGCGGCTTGGGAGCGGGGCGCGCCGGGAGCCTCGGCCGCGGCGGTCCTGGACGGCCGGGGGCCGGGGCCGCGCAGGTCCTCGTCGCCGAGCAGGCCGCGGTCATACTTACGGCGAAGGGTGGCACTGGCCAGCACCACGTAGGCCTGGGAGATGCGGGTGAAGCGCTCGGCAGCCTCGGCGCTGCCCGAGTTGCGGTCCGGGTGGTAGAGGAAGCTCTGCCGGTAGTAGGCCGCCTTGATTTGCGCCTGGGTGGCTGTGACGGGAACGCCGAGCAGCTCATAGAGCGCTGTGCGGGAGTAGGGGCCGTCGCTGCGGGCCCGCGTGCATGCTCGCCGGCCCAGGCTCCCTCCGGAATTCGAGGGCACCCCCGGGCCCAGCCGGCACCTCCATAATAACATCCGCGGCCACTTCCGATCACACTTAGCTGCCATCTTGGATGGCGTGGGCGGGCAGTGCCGCAAAAGCCGGCCAATGGGAGGCCCGAGTACTCCGCAGGCCGCGGTCCTGGCAACCAATCACGAAGAGAAGGCGGGCGGAAGGGGCGGGGCATGCGTACTAGGAGGCGGGCGCCGGGCCGCCAGCCGAAGCAGCCGGGCTTCCGGTGACGTCAGGACGCGGCGTGTTGAGGGGATCCAAGCATGGCTGGCCGCGGACGGAGGCCGGAGCACGGGGGACCCCCGGAGCTGGTGAGGCCGCGCCCACCCCTCTCTTCTTTGGCCGGAACACAGCGCTCCGAGTCCTCGCGTAACCGCTTCTTTCTCCCTTCTACCCCCACAGTTTTACAACGAGGACGAAGCCCGGAAATACGTTCGCAAGTGAGGAGAACGCGGGGCGTCGCGGGCGGGCGGGCGGGGGCCGGGGTCGCGGGGCGGCCGGGGTCGCGGGGCGGCCGTCCGTCGGAACGGCAGACAGATTCCGAGGTCCCGGTTGCGGGCGGTGCTGAGAACGCTGGTCGAATTTCGCGGGGCGCCCGAGGGGAGAGACGGGAATCGATCTCCTTTCTTCCGCGGGCAAAGACAACTTGAAGGACATCCCCGAGTCTCCTGGGCCTCGGTGAGCACGTCCTTGAAATGGGGTGACCATTCCTGCTTCTGTAAGCGGCTTTCCAAACAAGTAACGCAATGACTCGTTTTTCCGCGTGTGGTGCAGTGGGCCGCGGAAATGGGAAGGGGTCAAGCACGCGAGGGGAGATAATGTTCGTGCAGTGCTAATTGAGGGCTGCAATGAGGTGCGACCCGTGCAGTGCTAATTGAGGGCTGCAATGATGTGCGACCCCGGGAGCCCTGGTGGCGTTGAGGGCTGCGCGCTGAGCTGCTACTGTCAAGGTCCGCGGTTCAAGCCCACTCGCCGCTCAGTAGGAGAAAGTTGAGGCTGGAAAGAGTTACGTCTTGGAGACCCAAAGGGGCAATTGTACCGGGCCTTGTTGGGCTACTAGGAGTCAGAATCGATGTTGGTAGTGAGGTTTTTTTGTTTTTGTTTTTAAAGCTATGGGCTAATTTCGTGACAATCCCATGTGGTACATGAGAGGGCTTCAAAAGGTTCCAGGAAAGTGGGCTTGAAACTTAAAGATAAATGGAATTTTCCCAATTTTCCCATGAGCTTTTTTTGACACTCCACCCTCACCCCTTGATTGCACACGGAATAGTTAACTTTTGGACAATTACAAAGTCACTTAGCAAGCGATTCTAGAACAGGATTTCCAAGCCTGGCCTTCCCAATATGCTACAGAAAAGTCTACCCATTTTATTCCCGCTGTTGAAATTAAACCCCCCCAAATCAAACTCGCCTTCATGGCATTGATTTCAACTCAGAGGCTGTACAGTAGAGTAGGCCCGCCACAGTGGGTTCTTGAACCAAAATCTTTAAATAGAGAGCCTCATTGTTGTTCCTCAGAGGCTGGTGGTTTTGAACCTCTGGCTTTGCTGGTTGGCAGCCCAGTGCTTAACTCAGTTCGCCATCTGGCTTCCTGTTTAAATTTGGTCAAGAAAAAATTTAAAAAGCGAATCCAGTCGTGTATCATGTGTGTTTTACCCCTAGCTGTGTTGAGTATATGGCATTTTGGTAACTGTTTTCTGAGATTCTTAACCTTGATTTTGAGAAAGCCAATACAATCCAACCTCTGCCCAGTCAGGTGGCCATCTGCCAGATTCTGAAAGGGGACGAATTGGAATGACTTGATATGAAGAAGACAGAATATTTTGCTGATAATTTTTATGACTGATTTTGTGTTCAAGTAATATTTTGGACCCAGTGGGCTAAGTGAAATGTAAATATTAATTTCAATTCACTATTAAGGATGATTAGGTTAAGTAAACGAACCTTTTCTCAAATTTAAGAAATTTTTTTCTTCAAATGATGTGTCAGATTTCTTTGACTTGTTAGATTTTCATAGACAGCACTGGTTTTGTTGTGTAGAAGTCGTGCTGAGTCCTACATATGAGGGCACTGGCCCTGGTGGTGCAGTAGTCAAGTGCCTGGCTGCTACCTGAAAGATTGGTGGCCCAGATCCACCCAGTGGGCTCTCAGGTGAGAGACCCAACATTCTATTCCTGTCAAGAATATAGCCCAGGGACCCTACAGGCCAGTTTTTCTGTCCTAAAGGGTCATTAAGAGTCAGCCGACCCTAGTGTGCAGCGATTGGTGGATGCCAAGGAGAGGAGGCCATTGGCAAGTAACGGGCGGGCGCACCAAAGCCTGGTAGAGCTGCAGATCCCCAGTGTGGACCAAGAATTTGTGCCTTGTCCATCCACTGTGCAACTGGCATGGTAATCATTTGTGTTACAACCAAATAGCGGGTGTGTGAACTTGGGGTCGCTTTTGAGTTTGTTGAGCCCAGATTAGAAGTCCCAAGTGAAGGGACCAGGCAAGGGTCTCTCAGGATGCTTGGCCTGTTGGGTTTTGGGGGGAGTCTGGGTGGGAAGTAGCAGTGTGAAGCTCCTTCGCTCACCCCCACCCCTGTGCTAAATCAATCCCAGCTCCCGGATGATTGACATCCAGACTAAGATGGCTGGCCGGGCCCTGGAGCTGCTCTCACTGCCTGAGGACCAGCCCTGCTACCTGCTGGATATTGGGTGAGGTCTGGGGGCTGACTCAGCTGGGCCAGGGGTCAGGCGGGTACTGGCCACTACACCCTGCTGAGTCCCTGTTGGGGCTGTTTCTTCTAGCTGCGGCTCTGGACTAAGTGGGGACTTTATCTCGGATGAGGGCCACTATTGGGTGGGCCTGGACATCAGCACCGCCATGCTGAGTGAGTACCTTCCAGTCCACGGGCCGTTGGACTGGCCTACCTTGAGGAGTGCGCCTGCCAGCTGTTACACTGACACCTCTTATTCAACGCAGATGCGGCCTTGGACCGAGACACAGAGGGAGACCTGCTTCTTGGGGACATGGGTCAGGGTATCCCCTTCAGACCAGGTTCCTTTGACGGCTGTATCAGGTGAGAGTCTTCACTTCCAGCTCTTCAGTCCATCAGGGCAGGTTTTGCACACCGAGGCATGACGACCTAGTGCGGCCCTGCCTGGGAGTTTCCCGTGAGAGTAAGGCCCACGGCCTGCTGTGTTTGAAAAATTTGTCCTCCCCCCCGTGAGGATTTTGCAGTGTCAGGTTCAGGCTCTACAGAGAGAGATTCTTTGTCTGCTTTTGTGGCGTGGGGGGTACGTGCTGGGCTGCTAACTGGAAGGTCAGTCCTCTGCCTGAGAAACAGGAGGCTTTCTGCTCACAAGAGTTACAGTCGTGGAAACCCACCAGGGCAGTTCTCCCCATCCTTTCGGGTCTGTGAGTCAGACTGAACTCAATGGCAGTGAGGTGTGTGTTTGGGGCTGCCCCAGCAGCCAGCGCTATGTGGGGGCGGGGCCTTAGAGGGGAAGCAGTGTGTGTGGCCCTGTTCTTGACTGGGTCCTTTCCTTCTCAGCATCTCTGCGGTGCAGTGGCTCTGCAGTGCCAACAAGAAGTCCGACAACCCTGCCAAGCGCCTCTACTGCTTTTTTTCCTCTCTCTATTCCGTCCTGGTGAGTCTGTGGCCTCCTCCCCACCTGGCCTGGCTGCAGGCTTGGTACGTAGGAGAGATGTCCCGTGGGAAGGCCGTTGAGATGGGCTCTCTTCAGGTCAAACTTCATGTGGAGTCACAATTGCTGTATTCATTGTTGTAAAAATGGCATGGCGGGGCCCAGTTGATGGCTGCTTCCGATTTCATAAGGTGGGAAGAAGGTCAAGATCAATATTCTAGGGCCTATTTCCACGTGAAAGAGGTGGGGAGAGGGGGAAGGGGAGGCAGACAGTGGAAGTGCAGTCAGTGATTGGCGATCTTAGGAAGAGAGGTATCTGGCTCCAGGTCCTGGCCCTGAGGGACAGGGGTAGGCAGTACTGCTTCTCTTACAGGCCCGGGGCTCCCGTGCTGCCCTGCAGCTCTACCCGGAGAACTCGCAGCAGGTGAGCCCCAACTCGCGGAGGTGATCACAGGAAGCCCAGAGACGGGAGGGACGGAGAGTGAGCTTGTGGCCCTGCTCCTTCCCCGTTGGTCCTCCTGCTGTGGGGAGGGAGGGGCAGGCCCCGTGTGCTAACGGGGGCAGAGGGCCAAATGGACCCCTGAGAAGGGCCTTGTGGCCCAATGGTCACCCATTTTTGGACTGGTGTCCCTTGAGGAAAGGAGTCCTGGTGACACTGCCCCGGAAGTCTGTGGTTCACACCGACCAGCTGCTCTGCAGGAGAAAGATGGGCTGTCTGTTCCCATAGGACTTACAGCCTTGGACACCCTCCATAAAGTCACTGAGCTAGAATTACCTTGATGGCAGTGGGTTTGGGGTTATTTGAGGTGTGAGGTAGGAGGATCCTAAGAGGTGGTACAGATGGCACAAGGATAGTGCTGATTGCCGTGACTAAGGAGGAGGGGCTGGGTGTGGGCCATCCAGGTGGTCTGTCCTGTGAAGTAGGATGGATGAGAAAGTGCAGACCCGAAGACAAGTGGCCTGTCATGACCAGTAATGTTCCAGTATTCCAACTCCAGCTGCAGTCACTTGTAGAGTCTCTCCCTGAACTCAAAAAGATTCCAGCTGTTAATTCCCTGGATTGGAGAGCGACAGTGAAGCGGACTGGGACTTAACCCATGCTTTCCTTGGCCTGGCTGTTGAGGCTTCCAGAGTGGCTTGGTCTGTTGACCAGACCCTCTGTCCTCCCAGGCCAGGTTCCGCCTGCAAACGGGCCAGTTGCTTTCCACTTGAGTGGAGGCGAAGCTGTCTGAGGTTTGCCCTCCCCCATCTGACAGACACCCTGTTTGTCTCCCTGCAGTTGGAGCTGATCACAACCCAGGCCACCAAGGCTGGCTTCACAGGGGGTGTTGTGGTAGACTACCCCAACAGCGCCAAAGCCAAGAAGTGAGGCTGGGGCATAGGCTGGCTTGTGTGCGTGGGGGGCAGGGGGCATCACGGGGGGGCTAGAGGCTACTGCTGAGTGGCCCCAGGAAAGGGGCTGGGCTGGGTCATCGGGACACAGGCAGGAGGGACACTTTGGGGTTCTGTTCGTGGGGGTGAGGTGGGTAGGACTTCACTGGCCTCTTTGCTTTTTCTAGGTTCTACCTTTGTCTTTTTTCTGGGCCTTCGAGCATGCTGCCACAGGTAAGGGTCTGGGTGGTGTCTGGAGTCCAGACCGTGGGGCTTAGTCTGAGGATCGTGCTGGGAGAATACTGCAGTCGTGCCTGAGTCCTCTGCTCTCCAGGTCTCGGGGTGGAGTTGGGCCCTGGCCCTGCCCTTCCCGGGCAAGTAAGTGGAACAACCTCTGGAAGGATCTAAGGGCACTTTGGTTCTTGCAGGGACTGAGTGGCCAGGAAGATGAAGTCGCAAATAGGCAGTCCATGTTCACCAATGAGAGGTAAAGCCCTTGTTTGGCAGCTGGGGTCACTGCAGCCAGGTCTGTTTCTGGGGCAGTGGAGGCTGGCGCTGGCAGGGCTGCTTCACTACAACACATGTGGGTTTCTGTGCCGCACAATGCCTGGTGGTACCAGAACCAGAGACCTGTTCTTTTGGACTGTGCCTGGTGCAGCCTCAGGCCAGGCCCTTCTCAGGGCTGTGGGTGATCAGGAAGCCTGGCACCAGCCCTTCTGCCCCATGTGACAGACTGTCCTTCACCCTACCCTCTCCTGTATCCCCATCTTGGCATTCCTTGTCAAGCCCATCAGCACGCAGACACACTGCTGCTTCTCTTGATTTTAGACCCCAGCTTCACCCACCCACCACGTCGTCTATTTGCTGCTTTTTGCAGCTGCTGTCCTTGGTCCTGCTGTGGCTACCTCCCCTCCGCTCCGCTCCCCCTCGTCTTCTCCCTCTGTGCACAGCACCCTTGCCACAGTCACCAGCAGCCTCTTTCTGGCCAAATCTGCTTGTCTCAGTCTATCAAGAGGCCCACAACTCTCTTCTCTGTACTTGACCTTCAGGCTCTCTCCTCCCTCACCCCATCCTCACCATCCACTTGGTTGTTTCCTCCTAGGGCTGTTCCTTCCCCACCTGCTCTGTGAACAACTGGCTGAAGAATGCCCCACCTCCTACCGGCCATCCATCAACTGTCCGCACAATGGCTTTCCCAAGAGCGTCTCCCAGAGCTTCCTCCCTATTCTTCACTGGCTCCATCCTCCCTGTCCTGTCTTCCGCCTCATACCCCGAGTCTAGTTGTGATCCTTTCCCCGCTTTCCATAGCTCGCCTTGGTCACTGCCTTCTCCCTGGTCACTCGGGGTCCCTTGCCGCTCCCTGTTTCAGCCTCGGCCTCTTGCCAACTTACTGGCTGCACAGCTGCAAGACTTCTCTCTTTCCGGTACTTAGGAAGTCTAATTCGGTCAAGGCACCCATCTTCTGGGGAGGAACCCTGGTGGCGGGGAGCGGGTTACCCATTGGACTTGCAGTCTCGGAACCTCCCCCCTGGGGCAGGTCGGCTGTCTTAGGAGCCCGCATCAACTCCGCGGCAGTGAGCTGGAGCCCTGTGCTTTTCAGGTTCTCTCAGCACCTGTAATTGCTCTGAACCACCTGCTCCACTTACTTGGTTTTCTTCTCTGTCCCCCACTGGGACATGCCCTTGGTGGGGCCATCCACAGTCGTGCCTGTGATAGGATCCGTACCCAAGGTCCAAAAGAAGGCAACGATGTAGTTCAGATGGCCCTGAGTGAACACTGAAAGTGGACCAGGCAGAGGTGGCAGGAATCTGGCAGGGTTGCAGTGGTGGAAGTCTCCGCCTGTGCCTTGTGTCCTCTGCAGGTTTGAGCTGGCTAGTCCCTGAGGATCCCTGTGGTGCATTGATTGAGCATCAGCCGCCACCCCAGTCAGTGGCTGCAGGAGAGATCCTTGGCGGTGGGCTCCTGATAGGACAGCTCCAGAGACCATGCGGGTCAGTGCTACTCTGTCGCATGGGGCATTTATCTGAGCTGAAATCTCTACTTGAGGGGCACCTGATAGTGACACCATCACTCCCCGTGTCCTCCGAGGTCATTAGCTCTCCCAGCCCATTCCCTGTGGTTAGCTCGGTACTGTTTCTAGATGTTTCTCCCCCGGGGCCCTATCACCTGCTGCCCCTTGCTTCCCAGTGAGCAGTCCTGTTTCTTCACAGAGGAAGTCCAAGGTGCTTATCTTCCCTCAGGCCACCCTAGGGTTCCTCTTACCCTCACACTGGCACCCGCAGACGGCATGGCCTACTTGTGGCCTGGGTGAGTTTTAGAACCTGGGAGCACGCCTTCTTCACTTAAGAACACCTCTGTGTGCGGCAGTGAGGAGCATGGAGCCCGTCTGTGGGAGGGCTCAGCCCGCCACCCAGCACTTCCTGACCCCCTGTTCGTCTGTGGGAGGCCTCAGATTGTGAGGAGGGAAGGAGCCCATTGCTGGAAAGAGAACGGTGGTTTTTCCGGCTATGGCTGCTTTTGTCGAGCTGCTGCAAGTAAACAAGCGGGTTTTATAAAGGTTTTAAACCTGCTCCTGGTTTGTCTCCACTTTTGGGAGGGGCGGGGTACATCTAGGTGGCTGTTGTCCTTGGATTTTTTAATCTTGATCACCTGGCCTTCACCTTCCTACTCCTCGAAACTCTTCTGGAAAGTCCACTCTCCCTAGGCCACCAATCCAAAGACCTGCCATTTGGTCTCCTGGCTCAGGCCCTGTGGGGACGGGATGGACCTCAGTGTTCCCGGGCACCACCTCTCTCTCGCTGCTCCTTCCCCTCCCTCCTGCTCTTGGGCTCACGTCACTGACACGCCCCCTCCTCCCCCATTTTCTTGGATGAATACTCAGGATGCACTCCAGCCTCGCCTTTTACCTCTGCTTTCTTCTTCCTGTCTGGCTACCTGATTCCATGTTCCAGTGGGATTTGCTGGCTGGTGGGGCCCCCACCACTTCTTGGGGCAGCTCCCAGGGTCTTCTGGGTTACCCCAGCACTCCTCTCGGTGCCTCGGTTGTGAGTCCCCTTGTTCCTGGCTTGAGCTGGAGCCTCTTGTTGCCCTGCTAGAGTCAAGACCACATGTCCTTCCTTAGGTGCAGCTGACTCCCTGCCGTGTCCCGAGGACCAGCAGGCCTCTTGCTGGACTTCTGCCCTCTGAGAACGGGCCTGGCCCTCACTCTGGCCTTAGCCCTGCCACTTTCTGTGCCCGGGACTCCCCAGCACCTCGTCCCTCCCAGCCCCTGTTTTTGTGTGTGACTCCTGCTGGGAACAGCCTTCCTCAGTCAGCGCCTCGGCCGCCCTCCCCCAGCCCCGCCAGCTGCTCTGTCCCCTGCATTCAGTTGGACTGGTGAGAGGGGACCCTCCCAGTACCTGGCTGGGGCCCTTCAAGCCAGTTGGGGGATGCCCTTGATGTTGTCACCTAAGGCTGGAAAGAGTCACTGCCAGACGGGGTGTGGTCGGGGACCTCAGTGCCCCAGCCCGTGGCCTCTCCTCCTCAAGGCTTTGGGGGTCTCTCTCCCCTTTGGCCAGAAGAGGTGGCCCAGATGAGCCTGGAGGTCACCGTCGGGCCGCGCTGTGAGAGAGGCGGCTCCGTTTTCCTGCCTCAGACAGTCGTCACCAGGGAGCCCCGGCATGCTCGGCACCTGGCAGGCAGCGTGGGCAAGCAAGCCAAGGCCCAGTGGATTTCCTGGCCACTGACTTGCCTCGCTGGGGGGCAGGCCGTGCAGGCACACCTCAGGAGACACCTGCTGCCTATTGCTTTGGCCCCAGCACGTATTACGGTGAAGATGGGGTGTCCAGAAGGAAGCTTTTCTGATTGAAGAGAAGTGGTGGTGCGGAGGCCACCTAAGGAGGACAGCCACGTCACCAGATCTCTCCCACACAGGGTCACTGCGCGCAGGTCTTTGAAGCGAGGATTGGCGAAGAACACCCGGGACTGGGTGCTGGAGAAGAAGGAGCGCCGAAGGCG